ATGTAGAATAGCCCAAAAGGTGTTGCCCAATATTCCTCTTTCAAAGTCTCAACGATGAACTGAGGTATTTGCCAAGTTTCATGCCTAAAGTCTACATCAGTATCTTGAAGAGATACCAGTCCTTCACGGATACGAGTTTTTAACAGGAGAGTTTCGTTGTTAGCGATCTCTATTCCTTCGTACCTTGACCTCGAGATTTCAATCAACTTTGGATCAACGAACCATCTAAGTGTGCCATCAATACCTTGCACGATTGTTACTCCCGTCACGGGCGTGTCGTGATACTGCTGAATCAGATTTTGATTGATGACATCTGGGACCGTAAATGACGGGTCCCATAGTTGAAGATCTTCTAACTGATAAGATATTTTTCCAAAACGAAGTAAACTTCTCAGCAAGACAGGCTCTCCCTCACGAGTTATAGCAGGAGGATGGTATGGCTCAGTTGTTGCTGTGGCTTGCGGAGCTGGTTTCTTCTTACTTTTTGAATTCCACTCATGTTCTGGTTTCCAGTCTGAACGACGTCTTTGAAAAAGATCACTTTGTGATTGACCTAAATAAATGAAAAATGATTCAACTGCTGAACTTGAGGAATAAAAAAAAGGAAAAATAAACCACTTTATTTAAGTGTCGAAGTGTTTAGCACTGCTGTACTAATTCCCTCTATGACGCGCGGGCAGGGAATCGTGGTAGCTGTATGCAATGTCGCGAAGATATCGCGCGCGTGTTGAATACAAATACCATGATTCCCTTGGCGCGCGTCTCATAGAGGTAATGGGGGTATTTATAATATTTTTTCCTAATTTTAGCATCCATGGCCCAATGAACAAAGACTTGTTAATCAAAAATCCCAACTGGTGGAAGGCTGACCAATTGGCTAGTTACGAAGCGTGGACTAATTGAATTTCGAACCACTAAACACAAATCCATCCAGGGCATCACTGATCGTTTTTTGGAAACCTCTCGAAAGTTTCGTCCGTGTCTGTGGATTTGGTCGGGCGATGGTCATGGCGAAATTAGAAACTGGACCTTTGCTAAATAGTAAATGGTTGCTAAATGGGCAAGTTTCGATATATCAAGAATTATAACTGGGTGCCGAAGCTTGAGGATGTATATATAAAAGATTCAAAGTGTGGCTGAAGCCCTGAACAAATATCTATTTTGGTCTATTTCCCTAAGGGAAATTGGCCTACCAGATGATGCAGCCTGCATGAATTTTGCAAATGGTGCAAGTCACTTTAAATAGTGTGGACAAATATGATGCATTTTTACCTTTAGGAGATCTTGAAGTATTGAACTCCTCAGGTCTAGCGCGCGCCCTGCTGCCCATTTCATTGCTTATTTCAACGCGAGAGACCAGTGAACTTAGTTGCTGTGCAGGATCTTCTTCCATGGCTTCTTTCTCAAGTTCAGTAGAGCTTGCTGACTGCGGTGTTTGTGATGATGGTCCTTGTCGCGGTTGATATTCAAACTTCTGTCCTTTCTTGCTTTGATCAAAGTAATGTAGCAGGGCTTCTTCGTGAATCAGTCTGTGACTTTTGTTCCACGAAAAGACGAAGCTTTTTCTTCCATTCATGAACTCCTCGCTGAACTGTGAATACGCAATTTTTCTCTTGGCCCAGCGCGAGATGACAAACTGTTCTTCCTCGGTTTCGTTCTTGTAGTTGTCATCTCCTCCAATAACAACGATCACATTCTCTCCTTAATTAAATAAAAGATAAAATATTTAAAATCCCATTTCAGCAGAGAAAACATGAATAAAGCAACTTTTCCCTATAAATTAAACTACTCCAAAGCTCTTAATAACCAAGCACCTGACTATATAAAGGACTTTTTACACATAAAGACTACCACAACTAATCGCCTGCTCTCCCAAGACCATAACCTCCTCGTTGTTCCCAGAACCAAGCAAATGTACAAGACATTTGGTGATCACGCCTTTGCACTCTCTGTACCTTTTCTCTGGAACAAACTTCCTCGAGAAATAAAACTAAGTCCAACCCTGACTGTTTTTAAATCACAGTTAAAAACTTACTTTTTTTTCAATTAGCGCATAGCATGCCATAGTCTTATAATATGTTTTTTGAATTGTATTATTTTTATATACTTTTTTCCTATATTTTTACTGTAATCTTAATCTTTCATTGCAAAGCGCTTTAGAATATTTTATAATTTTAGCGCTATATAAATCTAATTTTATTATTATTTACCATTGAATAAAAAAGGCCGTCCTTAAATTCACTCTATTGTTCTCCATGTCATTTTAAGCTCCGACAGCAAGTGGAATTTCAATTTTCAGCACACATTCTATCTAGACCGCGGCCTAAAAAGCTCAGAAGAGTAAAAATCTAACATGAAATATTGAATTATGGCCCCTTGGTCAGTAAACTCCAGCCCCTACCCCCGCTCCCCCCAAAAAGAAAATTTCACGCATTATTTCACAGTAAAATTTGTTAGGCGTCGACGGTGAACAATTGAAATATTTATGCAAGTTTGAATTCAGTAAAACAGTCATTGCATTCTTGGAAATGTGGCAGCTGTTTGCTGCCAGATCAGTTGTGTATATCTGTTTTTGAACGACTAAACCAAGTCAAAATAGCCCGAAACAAGACACTTATTGCATCAAAAGCATGAACATGTTGTTCT